GCGAGCAACCTTGCATTTGATCCTCAATATACCCCATTAACTATCTTTACAAGGCCCCCAATTTGCAGAATCACTGTCTCGAGCTCCTCCTGATCAACCCTCAGTACATGCTTACTCTCAAGCATCTCAATCTTGCCAACGTACTTTTTGGAGAGTTGAATGAATTTTTGAGATTGAGAACGAGAAGGAGACGAAAGTAGTGTGATTCAGTGAGTGTTTAGTAGTAGTTTAGGTTACAATTGGGCTTCCAGAGTTGAGCTAGTCTGATATTAAAAAAAAAAATTGTGCCAAAAAATGAGGCCCCCTCCACGTTTGATCCTGAGGCAGCGGCCTCATTTACCTCGCCTCAGGGCCGGGCTTGGGTAAGTCACAAAGGAAGAAAGAAATCAACAACACAAGAAAACACCCAAAACGCATCATGCATTTTTATTTTTATTTTTTTGTCAACAGACAATTTTTTGTTATGCTGGATGTATGTTTCTAGGATGTATTATCTGTACATTTGAAGCTTGTACGGCTGTATTCATGTGCTTAGTTGCTGGGATGTGTATTGGTTTTTTAAGGCTGTAAGCAATGTAGAGAGATGTATGTAGCATTTATGTTTTATTGTTCTGCTGAGGTGGGGAAATGGAAATTTATTTTGATGGTTATATGATTTGATGTCCACTTCAAACCTTATTAGAGGAGAAAGACTTTTCTCTCATTAATTGAAAAATTACTCAAATGAATACATTCGTTACATTGGTTCTTATATAAATACAAAGTAAAATGAATTGACTAACCAACTAATAAACACAGCTGTAAAGTAACTAAATAACTTCTAACTAACTAGATTCCATAAAATGGGCGCCAAAGTAAGATTGTTGAGTTTGAGCAAACCTGGAACTTTCTGCTACTTCTGAGTTGGATGAGCATTGCTGACTGAGAGCTTGAACTCTAGTACTCCCCCTCAAGATGGACTATGCAGATTAAGTATAGCTATCTTGGACAAGAAAGGAAAAAAGGAGAGATGACTGCAATGGTTTGGTAAATATATCAGCTAATTGATGTTGAGTACGAACTGGTAATAATTTGATAAATCCATAATTGACCTTGTCTGGAACAAAATGACAATCGATCTCGATATGTTTTATTCTTTCATGGAAAATTGGATTATTAGCAATATGAATGGCTGCTTGATTGTCACAAAAAATCAGAGCTGGATGGGAAATGGTGACCTACAAATCAATAAGCAACTGACAAATCCATACAATCTCACATGCCGATGAAGCTAAAGCACAGTACTCTGGCTCTGCTGAAGATCTTAAGACTCTTGTTTGCTTTTTAGACTTCTAAAGATTAAAGAGTTCCCAAGAAAAACACAAAAACCAGTGATAGATTTTCTTGAATCAAGACATGACCCCCAATCAGCATCTACAAATGCACAGATTTGGATAGAAGAAGAAGCATCAAATAATAAGCTTTGTCCTGGAGCTGTCTTTATATATCTTAAGAGATGATGTACAGCATCTAAGTGAGGCTGGCGAGGTTGCGATACAAACCGACTTAATTTGTGGATGTCTGGACGTGATATCGTTAAGTATAATAGTCGACCAACAAGTTGACGATATAAGGATGCATCATCAAGTAAATACCCTTCAAAGGAGTTGAGCTTCACTTTAGGATCCATTGGCAATAATGCTGGTTTACAAGCCAAAAAACCAGTATCCTCAAGTAATTGTAAAGTATAGTATCTCTGAGAAAGAAAGATACTCTTTTGTGATCTTGCAACCTCCAAGCCAAAGAAGTACTTCAACTTACCAAGATCGTTCAATTTAAACTGACTATGTAGAAACTTCTTCAATGAATCAATCATCTTAGTATCTGATCCAATGATGATTATATCATCAACATAAACAAAAAAGCAATGAAGGAAACACCAGACCTTTTCGTGAACAAGGAATAATCTGATTTAGATTGTTGGAAGCCATGTAATACTAGAGTCTTATTTTAGGCCATAAATTGATTTATGAAATCTACATACCAATTTCTCCCCCTCAGGTCCAGTAACATAATGTTTATGGTGACGTAAAGGCAAATCCATGTAAATCTCCTCAAATACATCACTGTTAAGAAAGGTATTATTGACATTCAATTACACAAGATGTCATTTCTTAACTGCTACAACAGTAAGAAGTGTTTTGACAGTAACCAACTTCGCCACTGGAGAAAAGGTTTCATTAAAATCCAATTCTTCTTGTTGAGTATAACCTTTTGCCACTAACTGGGTTTTATACCGGTCTATGATGCCATCTGACTTGAACTTAATCTTGTATACCCATCTATATCATATGGAATGCTTATCTTTTGGTAAAACAGCAATAGACCAGGTATGATTTACTTCCATGGCTGCCACCTCATCAACCATAGCCATTTACCAGTGTTTATTTTTAGCTGCTTGGTGATAGAATTGGGGTTNCTCATCAACCATAGCCATTTTCCAGTGTTTATATTTAGCTGCTTGGTGATAGAATTGGGGTTCAAATGTAGAAGATATATTGAGGAGAAGGGAGTCGTGAGAAGAGGAAAAGGCTTTGTATGATAAGGATTTACTTAGAGGATATAAGGAATCAGTCTGAGGAGAAGAGTTGTTGATCAGAAGATTGCAGTGATAGTCACGAAGATAAGATGGATTTTTTCTTATTTTGTTTCCTTTCCTGTAAATGGATGCAAGAGACTGATATGAGTTTAAGGTGGAAAGAACTTTATGATCTGAAGTGTGAATGATACTAGA